GGATGCATTCACTGTCAGAAAGAATTGATATGTGAGCTGAAATGAGGAGATAGCTGATGATGGCCTTTGTGAAAAACTAGGAAGGCACTGTCACATTTTTCTTCATAACCCAAACTGTATTCATATACTGAGGAAATATTTACCAAATTAACATTATATTCCAGAAGCAAACCTGTTTCTAATGTATCTGAAAGATTCTGGCATTCTAATATTCTGTCCTCTATTCTTTATATCTTCCTTCATTCTAGCTTTCAAAAATAGGAATGTGTAGCGGCTTAAAAAAGAATACTTTTCTTCAATTGCAGAACAAAGCTCTAGAGGCACTATGTAGGGAAATTCAAAGAAGATGGTTTCATTGATGTATATTTTAACAAATGATGCCTGGAGAACCTCCACATCTCTGACTCTTTAGAGAATTTCTAAGTCAACTAATCCCCATGAATAATAAGGCTCTTTCTTTGGCCAGTGAATTCTCATAGTGTATTATCATCGTTCCACTTGCTAATTAGAAAAATTGTGGACAAGTACTGGGCACAATGTGGTAATTAGCTCCCTGTGGAGGTGGAGAGCTCAATTACCAACCAAGGTATTGAGTCCAGGGCTAATGTAAAGAGGAAAGACCACTGATGATACCCATTGAGGCACTACCTAAAGTACCCATGAAGAAAGGGCACACAGGTAACATTTTTTTGTGGAGTAATGCTATTCTCTGATTTTGGCCTTGGGAGTTCTTGAAAGATGAAGAAGAACCCTGAGGCATCATGACAGGGAAGACAATTTTGGCAAATTTCACCTACAAACCTTCACAGAGGTTTCTAGGAGGTGCCTGAGAATGAATAAAACAGGTACTAGAACTCTGATTTGAACAAATGTAAAATTTTAATGTTTATTTAGAGACTTTTTTTTATTAAGAATACCAGTGACAGTCACTTATTTATATGTCAAATTTAAAAATTATTGAGTTTTTCCCATGAGCTAGTGATCTGCTTACTTCTAGTTATTAGTAATGAAAAATAGAAATTGCCATCAAATGACAGAAAGAAAAGCTGAATAGTGGAAAAAAATAAGGATAAAGATTGAGACCAAGATAAAGGCAGAGATCCAGTATAAGCCTTGATTATTTCATAGAGTGGGGGCAGTATTAGTCTTAGAAAGGAAGAATAAAAATTACAGTAAACATACAACATATGAGGGACACAGAAGTGTTTCTCACTTAAGAGGCACATGGTAGTGCCTCTTAAGGAAATCAAGTTACTACAAAATAAACTAATTGGGATTATTATTAATTCATTAATAGACATTTATTCATCAAGTATATCTCAATTATTTAAATATTGGATAAGTTGAGGATTCAAAGGGAATAAATAAGGCGTTTATCCTTGAGACTCAAATCTATTGGAGACACCAATAAGAAAAAAAATTAGATATAATATGTTGAGTATTTTGATAAAGTCAAACTAGACAAGCTTTAAATTACTAAGAAGGAAACAGCATACTCTCCCTAGACATACTGAAGAAAGCTCAATAATTGATGACTTTAAAAATGTGAGGAATGAGTGGGCCATACATGAAGAAGAAATGATATTGGAGGCTGAGATCTCTCTCTCTCTCTCTCTCTCTCCCCGCCTTCCTCCTTCCCTCCCTCAGTGGAATATTGAGACACAAAGGCATATAAAGGAAACTCTAAGCATTTCAGTACAATTCCTGCGTGATGAAAACTTAGAGGATGAGATTATAAATACACGTGGACAGAGAATCAGCCATCCTATGATTCAGCTTAAGGAATTCTGCCTTTACCTTATAGGTGATAAAGAGTTACTGAGCAACATAATGTGAAAAAACCAATTCACTATTTCTACTTGCTAAGAAGGTGATCTAATTACTCTATTTTTCTCCTTTTTTCCCCTCTTTCTCATTTTTCTAAGCTTTTCTTTCAACATGTAATGTCTTCCCTTCCAAACTCAGGTCACTATCTCCTATTTACCAGTTATTTTAAGCAGTATCCTAGACTGAGTTAAGTGAAGTCAAAGTTTCCATAGTAAGTTTTATTTTTAACTATTAGTTTCCACACAGGTTTTAAGGATGAGTTTGAAAGAACAGATGGTTGACGGGGTAGGAGTTATAGAGAAGATATTGAGTAATGCAACCTTTCTTTTCTTTCAGTTACACCAACTTTCCCTGCATACTTTGTGACTATTCATACTGGAGATGAGCCTGTAAATGATAAAACACTCCAAGAAAGGATATATGGAAAGCGGAAAGGCATAGATGATGTCTCAGGAAAAATGTTAGGGAGGACTCTGTGCTGGTCAAATGAATGGTATATATTCTTTATTTATAAAGTTTAGAGATGAGGCAATTCAAAAATATATAGAGATGGAAAATAAAACTCTTGGTTCTAGTCCCATTTCAAAATTTTATTAAACATCTGCCTAAGCAAAATAGAAAATATTGACAGCAATTTAGGTATTTATAAAGTACCTCAAGCCCCCAAATCAGGTATTTCTAAAATAATAAAAAGTTTAGGGGCCAGGTACAGTGGCTCACGCCTGTAATCCCAGCACTTTGGGAGGCCGAGGCGGGTGGATCACAAGGTCAAGAGATCAAGACCATCCTCGTCAACATGGTGAAACCCCGTCTCTACTAAAAATACAAAAAATCAGCTGGGCATGGTGGCACGTGCCTGTAATCCCAGCTACCCAGGAGGCTGAGGCAGGAGAATTGCCTGAACCCAGGAGGCGGAGGTTGTGGTGAGCCGAGATCGCGCCATTGCACTCCAGCCTGGGTAACAAGAGCGAAACTCCATCTCAAAAAAAAAAAAAAAAAAAAAAGAAAAGTTTAGCTAGTGAGATGAAGGAGGAGGCTATTTGATAATCAGAAATAATAAATAAGATAGCAACATTTTATGGGATCTTTTGTTCTACAGTCAGAGAGATTTTTCATCCCAAAATGTTGAAGCAGAGTATTAATATTACAGGCTAAGTTAACATTAAGGTAACAAGTTTGGAAAATTCCTGGAATCAAATGTCATCTACTTGAGAGTTTTGAAATGATTTAGATGATAAAGTGATATTGCTGGTCATTAATTTTTTTTCAACAAGTTTTCAAGCACTTAGCATATGTTGGGCATCATTGCATGTGTTAGAGATGCAGTTTCTGTTATCTGGTAAGTTATAGTTTGCAGAGTCAAAGACAATCTTATTATAGTAGTGGCAAAGCAAGTAAGATTCTACTGATTACTAAGGAAATCAACAAAATATGGTGCTGCATGATTAGGAAGCAGTAGGAAGGATTCTATGAATAAAGTCCTTTTAAATGAAAATTAAAAAGAAGGAAACAACACATATAAGGCAGAGACTATTTCTAGATACAGAAAATAGTATGAAAAATGACTTGGTTGGTAAGAGTTCTCACTGCTGAAGTACATATGAAGGAATATATAATGGCAGTTATGAGTGATAAGGGAGAAGTGGGAAAAGTGTGAAACACCTAGAATATTTTATAGATAACTGAGAGTCAGTTGGTTTGGTAATATGATAGGATTTGTTCTATAGAAAGACAATTCTGCTGCTACTGTGGAAGATTGCTCAGAGTGTAAGAGAGAATCCGGGCAGTTCACTTACGATACTATAGTCCAGGCAAGGGATAATTTCTTACAAAACAATAAGAATAAGAATGAATCCTAAAAGTGTTTCAGAACAGAAATATGTTGAACGTGGGGGATTAGAAAAATGGTGAGTTTAAACATACGTTAGAAATTTATGGCTTAGATGGCTTAAGAGTACTTTATTTATTGAGATACAGAAACTATTTATTGAGATACAGAATCTAGACAAAAGAACACATTTAGGCAAGAGGTAGGAGAGAATAAGAATGTTTTGATTAAAGTGTATGTAATTCAGTATGAGCAATGATAAACATGTTGGGGCCTTAGGAAAAGTATCTGAGCCTACTTATTCAGAAATTTAGAGAGAGCTTGTTGGAATGACAGTCTTTTGGGCCTCCAAGTCAGGTACCTCAAGGGTAGTACACAAAACAATGGGCAACAAGTGAATGCTGAAGCAAAATTAAATGACTCTAGCCATGTCTTTTCTGTAAGAAGAAATCAGGCCTATAATCCTGTAAGAGTTTGTAGAGTAATCATGAAGCTAGTCCTAAAACGATAGTAATAGTTTAAAACCAATTTCTTTTTAACAAAAGGAATGCATAAAAATTGGTTATACAATTAGTTGTAAAAGGGAACTGCTTTCTTTAAGTAATGCAAAGATCAATGGATGTTTTTCTAGATGGGGAAGGTATTAAAAACGTGTAGAAAGGTGAATCATCAGACATAGGTGCTACTGCTTATTTATGCTATCACTTATTGATGTATATATCAGTAATCAGAATAAAATTGTGACCCTTGAAAAGAATAATTAATGTAGATAAAGGATTTTATAAGATTAGATTACAAGAATCCTCTCTAATCTGCAGGGAATATGTTCCAAGACTCCAGTGGATGTCTGGAACTGTGGATCGTACCGAACGCTAAATATACTATGATGTTTTTCTATAACACATGCCCATGATAAAGCTTAATTTATAAATTAGGCATAGCAAGATATTAACAACAATAACTAATAATAAAATACAGCAATAATAACATTATATCAGCATCACTACTCTTGCACTTTGGAGCCATTATTAAGGAAAATAAAGGTTACTTGAGCACAAGCTTGGTGATATCATGACAGTTGATCTGATAACTGGATGGCTTCTGAGTGGCTAATGGATAATAACATATATGGTCTGGATACATTGTGCAAAGGAATGATCCTTGTCCAGGGCAGGAAGGAGCAAGACAGTGTGAACTTTCAACATGATACACAGAAGGAGACACAACTTTAAACTTATGAATTGTTAATTTCTGAACTTTTCCATGGATTACAGTTGACCTGGGTACTTGAAACTGATGTGGGTACTAGAAACCAGTGAAAGCAATACTTTGGATAAGGAGGAACTACTGTATTAAAAAATTAGATGGTATCTATATAAGTCTCCAAGTAGGGGACCTGATGAATAGGCTTTATTTGAGCAAATGACCGTACACTTCACGTAAACGTTTGTCCCCAGATTCACTGCTAAAATCAGCAGCAGAAAAATAGCAGTTTGAATGCATATCAATTTATAAGAGCTTCTGGTAAAATTTACAATTCTTTTTTCTCTTCCATACTTGTTGTCTCTCATTCAAATAAGACTGGCATAGCTACTTTATGAGGGTAAGTCTCCCTGAATTTTAAGTTCCGAAGATCTCTGGACCTGATCATATTGACCTTATTCCATGGGATCAGCTCATCATGGCCAATTCCTCTTCCATCACTGAGTTCCTACTGCTGGGCTTCTCCAGCCTTGGAGAATTGCAGCTTGTCCTCTTTGTGGTCTTTCTCTGCCTCTATTTGATTATCTTGAGTGGAAACGTCATCATCATATCAGTCATTCACTTGGATCACAGCCTCCACACACCCATGTACTTCTTTCTAGGTATTCTTTCTATCTCCGAAATCTTCTACACAATTGTTATCCTGCCCAAGATGCTTATCAACCTATTCTCTGTACTGAGGACACTCTCTTTTGTGAGTTGTGCCACCCAGATGTTCTTCTTTCTTGGTTTTGCTGTCACTAACTGCCTGCTTTTGGGAGTGATGGGTTATGATCGTTATGCTGCCATCTGCCAGCCTTTGCACTACGCTGTTCTCATGAGCTGGAGGGTATGTGGACAACTGGTAGCAACTTGTATTATTAGTGGCTTCCTAATATCTCTGGTGGGAACAACTTTGGTCTTTAGCCTCCCTTTCTGTGGCTCCAACAAGGTCAACCACTACTTTTGTGATATTTCCCCAATTATCCGTCTCGCCTCTGCCGACAGCTACATCAATGAACTGGTCATCTTCATCTTTGGGGTCTTGGTGCTTGTTGTGCCCTTGATATTTATCTGCATTTCTTATGGCTTCATTGTCCATACCATCCTGAAGATTCCATCAGCTGAAGGCAAGCAAAAAGCCTTCTCCACCTGTGCTTCCCATCTCATTGTAGTCATTGTTCATTATGGTTGTGCTTCCTTTGTCTACCTGCGACCCTCAGCCAAATATACATCAGGCAAAGATAGGCTGGTGACAGTGACCTATACCATCATCACCCCGCTTTTAAATCCCATGGTATACAGTCTCAGGAACAAAGATGTGCAGCTGGCTATTCGGAAACTGATTGGAAAGTCTGGGTTTTCTCTTAAGAGTTTATAATCAGAACACTTTCTAACAGTATGGACAACATTAGACCAATTGTGTCACTCATTATTAAAATCATGAGATTATCTAGTCTATTTATCTATCTAACTGTGCAGGCTTGGATGAGTTATTTGACATTTGGGGCCTTAATGTTCTATGTAAAACAGAGATAACAATATTTTCTTCCTGGAGACATTGAAATTACAAAATGCCTATCAATAAAACATAACTCTCCTCCTCTTTTTGCTCTTCCTCTGGATGTATAGTTTCAAAATCTCTGATTACACTCTTTGTTTAAGGTTATGTCCAACTTAAAATGAGGTGTCCAGGCCTGAAGGTGGCTTAGATCTAGTGGTATGACATGGCAGGGAAAACTGTACCATACTGGCAATTAGATGATTTAAAACTGGACACTGATTCGGTCATGACGAAAGCTTTGACTCTTCTCTGCATATAAATTCTAATATATGGAAAGTACGGATAATGTAATTTTCCTGTTCTATTTCATGGGGGTCTTATTTGTATCTTATAAATAGTATAAAATAAAGTGTAAAAGAAGTACAAAATGTGAAAATATATACAATGTAGAATTCATATCAAATAAGCTTTGCATAACTGACAGGATTTCATTTCTTGCAAATTCTTCAAAACAGGTATTTTGGGATGGCTTTTCTGACTGTTCCTTTGAATCACTTCTTACGTAACACAGGAGTTATACTATGTAACATAGAAGTTGTGCTACATAATGGAAAGGAAAAGAATATTCAACCACCCTGTCCCATCTCAGGCTAAAGGGATCTACATGGCTTTCCACACTGAATTTATTATGAAGAGGAAGCTACCAAGTTTCACATTTTTCATGGGAATACATAAGATTTGAGAGAGAAGTACTTTGGTGATCGTCTGGTCCAGAATTTTCTTCATCAGTATCTCTAAGGGAAACCAGCCTCCACTGACTGGACATCAAAGACCTTACAAAACATATATTCCCACTGCTCTCAGTTCTTACTGTTATTCCTCTCATTTCAGCTGACGTTTGCCTCTGCTTTTCACGCATTCTATCTCTTGTGTCATACAGTAAGTCTAGTCCTGATTCACAGATGTTTGAGATGGTTATGATGACAATCGGAATGTTTTCCATAAGTTATGCGACCTGAATTTCAGATGCCTCACTATCCTGGGTGCAGTCCTCTAGCTATGCTATAGATTATCAGTATACTTTTAAAATAATAATAAATACAACTGAAGTTCATATTTCATATGCAGCATTTTTTTCTGGGGTATAACTGTATCCTTCCTTGTTAAACTAATTTAGATTTTCTAATTAAAATGTGCCAAATCACAAATAATGTTTTCTTATATTTAAAAATTATACCTCTGTTCCTATTTATTTATTTACTTTCATTTTATTTATTTATTTTCATTTTACTTCATTTTCATAGTTAAGCAATTAATGCATTTATTTTCATTTTACTTCATTTCATTTTCATAGTTAAGCAATTATGCATTTCAAGTACAATATTGGTTATGCCTTTGTTTTCTTCTGTTCTTTTTTAAAAAATATATATTTTATTACATTTTAGGTTTTGGAATACATGTGATGAACATGCAGGATTGTTGCATAGGTACATACATGGCAATGTGGTTTGTTGCCTTCCTCCTCATCAGCTATATCTGGCATTTCTCCCCATGTTATCCCTCCCCAACTTCCCACCCCCTGCTGTCCCTCCCCGAGTTCCCCCCATAGACCCCAGTGTGTGATGCTCTCCTCCCTGTGTCCACGTGTTCTCATTGCTCAACACCTGCCTATGAGCGAGAACATGCGGTGTTTGATTTTCTGTTCTTGTGTCAGTTTGCTGAGAATGATGGTTTCCAGGTTCATCCATGTCCCTACAAAGGACATGAACTCATCATTTCTCATGGCTGCATAGTATTCCACGGTGTATATATGCCATTTTCCCTGTCCAGTCTGTCGTCAATGGGCATTTGGGTTGGTTCCAAGTCTTTGCTATTGTAAACAGTGTTGCAATGAACATTCATGTGCATGTGTCCTTACAATATAATGATTTATAATCCTTTGGATATATACCCAGTAATGGGATTGCTAGGTCAAATGGAATTTCTATTTCTAGGTCCTTAAGGAATCATATGGACTTACAGCTGAATTCTACCGGAGGTACAAAGACGAGCTGGTACCATTTCTTCTGAAACTATTCCAAACAATTGAAAAGGAAGGACTTCTCTCTAACTCATTTTATTAGGCTGGCATCATCTTGATACCAAAATTTGGCAGAGATACAGCAAAGGATATAAGGCAGATCTGGTATCTGTGATAGAATTCTGATTGGTTCACTTAAAAACTAAATTATTTATTATTATTGGGGAGCATTTCTCAGCATTTGCTGCACCTGGGAGGAGGGGCCGCCACACATCCCCATTCTCTTTCTTCTCTTTGGGAACCAACAAGTTACAAGAAGCTAAAACATTAGGGGAGAACTGAAGGTGTCTGCCTATGCCAGTTCATTGAGTATAGAAGTCACTCTTACGGAATCTGATTAGAGGGTTCAGTAACAGGAAGCCCATTGTTTCCTAAGCCACTCCTCCAACTTAGCCATAAATACGAACGAAGATTTTTTTGTTTTGTTTTTTTGAGACAGGTTTTCACTCTGTCACCCAGGCTAGAGGGCAGTGGTGACATCATAGCTCTCTGCAGCCCCTATGACCCTGGCTCAAGCAATTCTCCCAACTCAGCCGCCCAAGTAGCTGGGACCAAAGGTATAAACCATGACACCCCAGCTAATTTTATAATTATTGCAGAGAAAAGGTCTTGCTAGGTTGCCCAGGCTGGTCTCAAATTCCTAGGCTCAAGGGATCCTCCTCCTTTGGCCTCCCAAAGTGCTGGAATCACAGGCATGAGCCACAAAGTCTGGCCAAAGACGAGATTTTGATTTTCATTTTGAGATTTGATTTGTCTCCTCAACTGGCTTAAGAACATGGTCAGGCATAAGAGTAGTGATATATGGCTTCATAAAACCTCCGACATAGTATCAGTTATAATCAGGTATTGCAATTTACTGAATTTTCATAATTAATGTCATTTAAATCAAGGAAATGTATTCTAGAAAATTAAAAACACCAGGAAATGTTTTTCTCCTTTATGTGGTTAATATTTTTGGTGAATAGTAATTACAGAGCTAATACATGTTCATTCTAGAACATTTACAAAATACAGGCAATTATAAAGTAAGCCACAACTGGAGAAAATGAAAGTGTCACTTAAAACCTCTCTAGAATTTTTTTACATGCACATTTATCTCTGTATCACCAATTATATCTTAACGTAGTTGTTCATAATATCAAAACTACACCATATTTTATATTCTAACCTTTTATTTAATATAATTACTTTGTAACATTGTTTTCTTTGAAATATGACTTGCAATATCTGCATAGTGTTTTATTTCATAGGTAAACCATACTTTACTTAAATATTTCAATTATTTGGAAAATGTACATGCTTTTAAAATTAAATATGCTGAATTAAATATGTGTGTGCATATAGCTTCATAAATTATATCCCTAATACAGACTCCTGTATTTGAAATTATAGAGCCAACAAAACTATTTCTAAATTGACTACCAGAGTTTGAAATAATTTATATAACCACTGGCAGTATAATACAATTTCTTATGTCACTTATGTGATGGATAATATCTCACATAAATAACCAATTAAAATATTTGGGTATATTAGTATTGTTCAGATTTTAATTTTTTAATTTAATTTTTAAGTTTAGGGGCATATATATAGCTTTATTATATAGGTAAACTTGTATTATGGCGTTTGTTATACAGATTATTTTACCACCCAGGTATTATGCCTAGTACCCATTAGTTATTTCTCCTGATCCTCCACCTCTTCCTAACCTGTACCCTCCAATAGGCCCCAGTGTCATTGTTCCCTACTATGTGTCCAAGAGTTCTCATCATTTAGCTCCTACTTACAAGTGAGAATACGTGGTATTTGGTTTTCTGTTCTTGCATTAGTTTGCTAAAGGTGATGACATCCAGCTCCATCCATCTTCCTGCAAAAGACATGATCTCATTCTTTTTTATGGCTGCACAGTATTTCCTGATGTATATGTAGTGCATTTTCTTTATCCAGTTTATCATTGATGGGCATTCTGGCTGGTTCCATGTCTTCACTATTGTCAATAATGCTGCAATAAACATATGTGTGCATGTGTCTTTCTAGTAAAATGATTTATATTCCTTTGGGTATCTACCCTGTAATGGGATTATTGGGTCAAATGATATTTCTGTTTTTAAGTCTTTGAGGAATTGCTACATTGTCTTTCACATAGGTTGAACTAATATACACTCCCACCAACAGCGTACAAGTGTTCCTTTTTCTCCACAACCTCACCAGCATCTGTTTTTTTTTTCAGTAATAGCCATTCTGACTGGCGTTAGATGGTAACAATGAGATATCACTTCACATCAGTTGCAATGGCTATTATTCAAACCACTCACTGTGATTTTGATTTGCATTTCTCTAATGATCAGTGATATTGAACTTTTTTGTTTTCATATGATTGTTGGCCACATGTATGTTTTCTTTTGAAAAGTGTCTGTTCATATCCTTTGCCCACTTTTTAACGGAGTTGTTTTTTTCTGGTAAATTTAAGTTCCTTATAGATGCTGAATATTAGACCTTTGTCAGATGTATGGTTTGCCAAAAAGTTTTTCCATTCTGTAGGTTGTTTACTCCGTTACAGTTTCTTTTGCTGTGCAGAAGCTTTTCAGTTTATAATTATAACCCATTTGTCAATTTTAAATATCTTTTTAAAAATGACTGAGGTTTATCGGCTCCTAGGGCTGCCATTACAAAGTACCAAATACTGCCTCAGTATTTTTCTGGTGAGGCTTCAGAAATCAAGTTCTTGGCAGCGCCATACTCTTTCTCTCTCAGTTCTAGGGTAACATCCTTCCTTGCTTCTTCTAGCTTCCAGTGTTCACAAACAATACTTCTTCCTTGGCTTATAGGTGCATTGCTGCAGCAACATGGTTGCTTTCTGCCCTCTGTGTGTGCACATTGTCTTTCCTCTGCATGTGTCTGTGTCCAAACTTTTCCTTTTTATAATGACACCAGTCATACTGTCTTAGGTCTCACCCTAACAGCCACATTTTAGCTCAATTACCTCCATAAGAATCCTACTTCCAAGTAAGTTCACATTCTGAGAGACTGAGGATTAGGACAACATACTTCTTTTGGAGGCGGGGAGGAGTGGGACATAATTTTGCCCAGAACAACTGCCTACTTTTAAAATTACGTTTATATTCTTAACTTGTTTTTCCACTGAAAGCTTAATTTTTATATGTTTATTTTAAAGTTTTTTTTAGTATTTAATGTTAGTATAGGTTATTATTAATATTAAAAATTAGTAATAGTTTTCACTTTGTTATTTGGTATAAACTTAATCTTTCATTTTTAAAAGCCTTAACAAATTAGTTATTTATGTTATTTGGAGGGAAGTAGATGGGGTCTCTCTATGTTGACCAGGCTGGGCTCAGGCTCCTGAATTCAAGGGATCCTCCTGATTTAGTCTCTTGTGTAGCTGTGACTAAAGGTATGTGCCACGGTGCCTAACAGGCATTAATTTATGTTTATCTTTTTCTTTTACTTCTACAATATAGGGAGTCAAAAAACTCTTTTCTAACCACCTGAGAGATGAATTATTCTTTATATTTAATTGTTTGTCCTATCTGGCATTTATTTTGATAAGTTTTATGGAAAAAGTATTTATCTTCCTCCCTTCCTGCCTCCCTTTACCACCCTCTTTCTCTCTCTTTCTTCCTGATTTCAAGTAGCTTTTCTAAAATTTAAAACCTTGTCTCTCAATCTGACAGCAGAGGTTACTTCTTGAGAACATGTTTCTCTAGTCATGATTGTGTGTATACACACACACACACACACACACACACACACGAGCAATGTTACAGTGCTGGAGATTGAAGGATAACCAAAGACAAGACTGAGGGGGAAAGTGTGTAGTGGTCATCTCTCAGTTCAAGCCTGAAAGGAATCTATACATTTTTCAACTACCGAAAGCCCCATTTTCCTGGGGCCCGCGTCCTCTGCAACATATGGTCTTTCTGAGGGCTGCCTTTACTTCACGGTTCCTCAGACAGTAAATGATGGGGTTGAGGAGTGGAACAATGACAGTGTAGAGGACAGACACCACTTTGTTGGAATTGTAGGTATACATGAGCTTGGGACGGGCATAGGTGAAAAGCGTTGTGGAATAGAAGAGAATTACAATGGTCAGGTGGGAGGCACAGGTGGAGAATGCCTTTTGGCGGCCCTGAGCAGAAGGGATCCTGAGAATGGTGGCAAGGATAGCAGCGTAGGATGCCACCACAACACAAAGAGGAATAGCAATGACCATGAGGGCCAAGAAGAAGTCCACCAGCTCAGCCTGTGAGGAGTCCTCACAGGAGACGTTGAGGAGTGGAGAGATATCACAAAAGTAGTGATTGATCAGAGGTGTGCCACAGTAGTAAAGTTGTGCTATAAAAACCATCTTAATCATGGCAGTCATGAGTCCACAGAACCAGCATCCTCCAGCCAGTGTGCCACAGAGCTGGTTGGTCATGATGACTGGGTAGCGTAGTGGATTGCAAATGGCTACGTAGCGGTCAAAGGCCATGACAGCAAGAAGGATGTACTCAGTGCAGACAAAGGTCACAAAAAAGTACAGTTGAGTCATGCAGCCATTGAAGGAAATACTTTTGTCATGGCTGAGGAAGTCAACAAGCATCTTGGGGCTGATGACTGTGACATACCACATTTCCAGGAAGGAGAGGTGGCTCAGGAAGAAGTACATGGGCTTATGCAGCTGCCCATCACTGTGGATAACTAAGATGATGAGAAGATTTTCCAGCAGTGTCAGCAGGTAGGTTGCCAGGAAAACAGAGAAAAGAAGAAGCTGGGAGCCTGGTCGTGTTGGAAACCCCAGAAGAATGAAATGTGTTGTCACTGAACGATTATCTACTTCCAGAATTATGGTGGTCATGACTGGCTGTGGGCACAGACAAAGTCAGTTCCTTCCGTGATGCAAGCACTAGTCTATGTTATTTGTACTGATAGGGCCCACCACCAGCAAATTTATTACAATAGGTGATCTCTGCTTTTTTTAATCATTTTACCTCTTGAATTATGATGAGAACCAAAGCCTCTGAGAAAAGGTGGAATTTAGGGAGCTTATAATTCAACTTTTTTTTCAAATTTTCTCAAGAGCAGTAACTTGTGCAAGGTCATACAAAATAGAGATTAATATAACTTCCTAAATCCCAGTTCTGTGCTTTGCCAATATATCACTTTGAGGTACATAAAAAAATGGTCTCCATATCATCCTTGCACTACAGGCAAAACATCCCTCGTCTCCTGAATATGAAGAGGAGGAAGGAGGCCCAATTGCCCATTCTCTAGGGGTAATTTGTGTGACTGGAGTGGTTGCATGACACCACTTATCTGTAAAATGGAGAGAATTTCCCCGCTTTTATTTAACAAGGTGCTTACTCTTGAATGACGTTATAGTTGAGCACACCCATAGGATTAAAAGCAAAATAAAGTTGATAAAATCATTCACCAGCTTTTCAGAGAACAAAACTGAATGGATAACTTGAAGGGTAATATTTTCTTCAATCCAATCCATTGTATAGAATGCTTGCTTAGGAGTTTGACAAAAGTGCATTCAAATCCAAATTTTGTCTTTGTATAGCTAAGTGAGCACATCACAGAATCTTTTATAATATTAGTTACTTTATTTCTAAAATGGGGATAATGCAATAGGGCTCATATTTTGTGAACATCAAATGGGATTTAGAGTTTAAATTCAATTCCTGTGATACTTGCTTTTACCTTTCCAGGCTACCCTACTCACGCCTACATACATAGCTCGTTCTCCTTTCAAAACAACACACACTCCACCCCACACACAGAGCTTCCCCCACCCCAACTTTTACCCCTGCCGAAAACAGCAAAAAACTGGTGCAAACGGCAGCCATTGTTAATGAGAAAAGGGAGAGGGCTGTGGGACTTTTCCAAGGGTGCTAAATTTAAAAACCTGTAACCTGTTGGGAGTAATATCAGAGAAAAAGAACAAGAATGACTTTTTTTTACTGACCCTTCTGCATTTCTGTTCAATAATTTAGCAAAATGTGTGACCTCTTTTTGTGCTGGGCTGAGAATCATTCCCAAACCTATTGATATTCAACACCTTCCCATTTCAAGTCTCACTCTGTGTCTTATTGCTTCATTTATCTTTTCTGTTCTTCTCCAGAGCTACAGTCTCTCTTGCTCCCCATTTCTCAACAGCTCTATTTTATGGTGTAAATATGTAGGACAACTAGGGGAGGGTTTTTTTTTTCCTAAGGAATAGTCATGAGAAAAAGCCAGAAAACTACTGTCCACACTATCCATTTCCTTCTTCCCACTTAGATTCAGCTTTAGAATCCTGAAGAAAGGATTGGAAGGCATTATAATAATCTCTAAGAAAGGATTATTCTTTCTTAGAGAGGGAAACGAACACAGATAACCCAGAAAAGGCAAATAATATATAAGAGTGAAATTCAAATAATTTAGTTTTCTGTTGGAATACAGTCCTGAGAAACACACGCACGTACACAAACACACACACAGTCAACACAAAACTTGTCCTTACTCAGCACAGCTTGGTATTCCCTAGGAAGTGTGAGAGTGGGGCTTACAAGCAAGGCAAGGTTTGAATCCTGCTTAACTTTTTCTTCATCCTGATTTAAAAAAAAAAAAAAACATCTTTGAGTCCAAAAATTCAAACCACTTAAAATCTGTTTGTGAAGAGCATAGGTCAGTCTCTATCTGGCTCTCTCTTACTGAATCACTTTCCTTTTCAATGAATTGATGAAATGAACACGTTTCTAGCTATTGGGGGCAGTATTACTATTTGGGAGGCACTTTCTTAGTCCATAGAAAAAGGATATTGGTCTCCAGAGCCATGTCCTTGGGCTTAATCTTTGCATGTATTTTTTTAAATATTCTAGAAAACTACAGAATATAATACCCTGATGTCCTAGTTTCTGGGAACCATCCCCAGTGTCCTGTAGAAGATGCCTGGCCTAAAAAGCATAGTTAGAACAACCCTACTAAATAATGCAATGTATTCTCCATTTCTTTGCAATAGATATTGCCATTCTTAGGGTAACTGCTTCAGACATGAAGCTGGAAATAAAAACATCTACTTTAATTTTAAGAAGAATTGGTAAATAAAGTGGGTGATATTTTTGAAGAACTATGCATTCATTCATTCATTCTTTCTTTAATTCCAGCAGAAATATAAAAGTCCAGATGAAGCTCCACAAAATAAAAATACACAGAAATGAAAAGGGAGTATGCAGTATTATATAAAGAACAACTGACTAAGCAGCTTTATCATTTGAGCATGGAATTCAGCTTGGAGGTCTCTAGCAGTCAAGTAGAAGAGGAAAACAATTGAAAGTACAATATGCTCACATCCCATTTTCAAAGTTATTCACACATGTATATATAGATTTATATTTTGATAAATGTGAGTTAATGTATAAAGAGGTAGAGTGCTTTATCAAAAGGCGCATACATTGTAGATATAGTCAAGGTTCTAAATTCCTAATTTCTAGGGCCAGATTGCCTGAGTCACATCCTAGTGCCTTCTAAGACTGTTTAGACAGTCCATTGGACAGACTTGTGAGGAAGAGAGCAAGGCTCACATAGTTAATGGCATTTCCTCCAGTGGAAGTTTTATAGCAACTAGATTCTGAGGAGGCTAGGCTGAATGCGTTAAAGTATCTTTACTGCCAAATGATAACTCACATTTGTGTATGTAAAAGCACATTCACATCATTTTATCTGATCTTCACCATCATGGAGTTAGCACAAACGTCACAGTGCTGACTTGACCCAGGGATATTAAATGTCTAGCTGAATGTTACACAGCTAAGCTGCTTAATGACAGAATTGAAATTAAATGCCATATTTATTTTTTATAGTCTACTGATTTTTGTGTATGAGTAGGTAGAAGATGATCTATGAATTGGGTGAGGTTTTTTTTCTTCTGAGAATTAAATTGTAAAAATAGTTTTAATAGCACTCTATGCAAGGAATAAAAATTTTTAAGGAGTGAAGAATCAAAGGGCCAGGATGAGAGCCAAGAGCCACTTGAAGGTTCCAGTACTCTGGATCTCAAACATTTACTTAGCAGCAGGATAAACCATCTCACTTTTTTTTGTAGCCGACTCTTAGTCATGCATTATGGACTTGTCTCATGAAACAATGGTATTTTTAAACCAGTGGTATTTTAATTCAAACTTCTCTCTTTTCCCTCAGATAAGGAAATCCCAGAGTGATTTAAGTGATTTTCTCTAGTTTAAACAACTATATAGTGGCAGAGTAGCAATTTATTAATGATTACATTTTAGTCCCTAGCAAGCCTTAATCCTTAATTGTCTTATACAATTCATTCAATTTAATTATTTAATTTCTTCTATGGCTCCCTGTTATACACTTCATTCAAATTAATTCCTTATCTGACCCAATTATTATTGCTCAAGGACAACTTATCTTAAGTTTTAGCCTGATTTGAACAGAATTATAAAAGTTAGTGTGTCTTAAAATTATGATTTTTCTCAGAAAAAATATATATTTTTTAGCTTTCAGAATTGCTAGCCCATTGTATTGATTACATACACACACACACACACACACACACACACACACATACATATACACATTACTAAGGAAATGGAAAAAGATCTTTCAGCTCTAGAAACACAGGATTCTAGCACTGCAAAAAACCAAGAGGTAATATGATTCACATTTGTGAGTCACCAATGCATATATGTTAAGTATTCATCTAGATTTTGCCTGACTTTTTCAGGAATGGAAATTCAGTATCTATAAAACTACCATACTTTAAAGAAGAGAAATTTTTAATTTGGGAGATGCAAGGCTTTCTATTCTGAAACCCAATGCACCCACATTCAGGTTCCTGGTTCTGTTTCTAAAAATAAGCCTCATCATCTTCTCAAAGGATAAACTTCACTGTTTGAAAATAGTGTCAGGTCCATTAAACCTCCAGTTCCCTGCCCCACCCTCCATATTCCCTGTCTCATCATGTCTTTCCTTTTTTAGGTTAAGCCACTCAATTTCTATATATATGGTTATATACGTACAACCAGGTTATCAATTCCCTAAAGTTTGTGATCATCCTCTTTGGATGATTCCAGTTTGACTAGACATTTAATATAGACAAATATCATCAGGCTATGGAAAATATAACAGGTATTTAAGGCTTAGTTTCATTCTGGAATCAGAGAATAGGAATATCTTCTTTATCCTTTTGAGCCTTCCATCAGAGAGGAGCAAGAGGCTCTTTCTGATTTCCCAGAAAGGGTGGATATGACCTTTCCCATAGGTAGTGAACAATGAGCCCAGGATAACAATGAGTCTAGGAAATGACCTGCTCTGTTGTTTGTGGGAAAATGAGGTGTAGGGAAGAAAATGTATACGGTCAAATTGCTCCTGGTAATGGAGGCATTTTAAAAATTGCCATACAAGCTCTGTGGGGATTGGTTTGGCCAAACTGAGGGTCTCAGAAGTTTTCAAAAATGGAACATACGTAGTGAGACAAGTAACAGAGCAACCACTTGCGCTCAATCTAGTCTTCTACTAATTCCTGCAGGAAGGTGAGAAAAACAAAAAAGTATAGGTTAGCCATAGGTGGACATATCAGTCTTGGATGCTCAAAGGTAAGGCATTTTCTTAAGGGGAGGAACACAGTCTTACTCTTCCAAGTCAGTTTCAAAGAGATACAGTTCTAATCCAGCTCCCTTTTCCTAGGCTTTTCAGGAACATATATGCTTCAGGGTTATATGTGTAACAGCTACTATGTTTGTGGTAGAACAGAGTGCCTAGCTGCTATGCAGTGAACCCCTCTGCACCTTTCTGTTTCTACTGTGAGTTGGCTTTGAAGACTTTAGGGAAAAAAATGTGTATTTCATATCCCTGATTCTTTATACTCTTTATTATTTTCCAAAATCATGACTTGTAGTTTGACGTAATTTAATTTTCATCTCGGTCCTTTAGGAAAAGTGGCTTAATTTCTATGGGTCTCATTTTGAGCACGTTTAATTTTTGCAGTTTATTTCAGGGTTTCAAGTTGAAAATAAATGTGGTCACGTAATGTGATGCAATTTTTTGACTA